GTATAACTTTCAGAATATGGTAGCCAGAACAATGCTAATTATCGCTCCGCACTGCAAGAAATATTAATCAACGTATCCCAGTTAGGATATAACGAGCGCACGGTGTGCAAAAACCTTCATTTTTATTCATTATGGTATGAGGAAAATATGCGTATACATTTATTTTGATAAATATCAAACGAGATACCTGTCTGTTCTTTATTATTTTTTTATTGCAAAATTAAGTATAAACGTATTGAAATATTCGCCAGTACAATCTACGTAATTAACACTATATATTCAAGTTATAATTGTATGATATATAATATTTTTATATTTTTCTCATAATAACAAAATTAAAAATTTCCTTTTATATAAAACTGAAAACAAGATCTTATAATAAATTTTTCATTGTATTGCTTGTATTTATTCCGTTGCTGCATACAGAGTAATTCCATCTTTGAAAAAGCTTCCGTTGCTTTATTATCACTTGAAATATTTTAACTTTTAATGCAACTTTGATAGAGAGAGTTATTTCTTGTGTTAGAGTTCAAGTGATATGATTTCACAAAAAATTCAACATGAAAACCTACGATTCTGAGAAACATTATCTATCTTTATATATGCTTTTTAGTGCCACCCTAAATCGTATAAAAATGCTCGAGGTGATAAAACGTTACGTGAACTATTCAATATAGCCATTCGATTTGCAGGAATGTCTGTCTAGAAATAGCATACAGCAGCACGTAAAGCTTTTTAAAGAAAAGAATAAGAAATATATTTGATATTTTCGCTATGAGATTTTCGCCGGTGACATCAGTGAGCGGATGGCGGATTTTGGGCGTAAATTTCGACGGGATGCATCGCCCTCGCAAAAACGGAGAATGGTACGAAACGGTCGAAGGGGATGAGAGGCGTTTTAGTGGCTGTCGCCTACAAATACCGCGATCTTCTCGGCGAAATCTGCATTTCGAAGGGCTGTGACAGCCCACCCTTCTGCACGCGCTACCACTTTCGCTCCCTTATCTCGTCTCTTTCGTCGCCATTCTTTGACTCTGTCATTTTTCTCAGCGCTTCGTATTATAGTATTTTTCTTTCGTCGCTTTTTTGAACGCACTTCTTTTCCTTTTTTTTTCTCTCGCAGTGTATATTCAGAGATATCTCAGTGCACCTGCGCACCTCTTCCTGATACGGAGAATGTGGAATAAATAAAGCAGCGTCTAGTGGAAAAACGATAAATCCCGAGAGGCGCGCCAGCAATTTGTTGAATGGCGAGAGAAAGAAGGCAAGAGAAAGAGAGAAGGGCCCAGTGAAAAACGGGTTCTAGTAGAAGGGAGGGCAACGTGAGAAAAGCGAAAGGCGGGTCAAGAGTAGTCGAGACAGGCACGTTCGAAATCTTGGCGTGTAATTTACGAGAGCAGGCATTACGTAATCTGAGCGATAAATAACGTTATCATAGCACTCTGACCCACGGTTTATCATGGCAATCGAGACCCTTTGTTTGTTCACTAGAGGTTTACTTAGCCTGAGCTTTATCTGTGTTTCTATATCTGTGTTCTGAAGAGAATTTAAGATCCTATTATATTCATATTGTGTAGCTCGTAAATTTATTACGTCACGTGGAATTTTTTCCCCTATATTGTATTCCAATTTTTGGATACTTTATACACATTTAATTAAATAAAGAAAAACGTATTATATTATTATATATTAACAAAGTGATTTAACATGGATATCGCTGCGAATCATTTTATATGTATAATTCGTATTTTTGCTATTTTTAAGAGAAAAATTACAAAAGCAATAATGAATAAAATATAACATATAATCTAGTAGATAATATGTAAAAACACTCGCGCAAGAAAAGTGACACAAATCAAAAATATAAAATTATTCAGAAGAGAGGATAGAAAATTGCGTATAATTTAAAATTAATTATTTATTATAGAAGTATGTTAAACATAAATTAACTTAGAGCTAATTACTGTTTGTTTTACGCTGTCTAAAAGTAATGTATATATTAATTTTGTTATGATGTTGTATTACTCTTAGAAACTGTACATCTATTTTAATTTATGTCATTTTTGCGTTGCATCATTTTTATTTAGAAAGTACTTAAATAGTACTTAAATTCAATTTATATCACTTTTCATGATTGAAGACCGATGTACTTAAGATACAATCTGCATATGATACAAAATTCAAAAATTTTCAACTTACGTCACTTTTCTTGCGGGAGCGCGATATTATGTCTTTTAATGTTAATACAAATGTATGTATGTCGTGTGTATGTGTGTATGTCTGTGCGCATGTTTAATATTAATGCAATATGTTAAATATATTGCACTTATATAGTGTTTCGTAATTACGCAACGCAATAAAGTTCTTAGAGTAAGCATACATAGTGTGCCCAGCTTCTTCCTAAGCTGAGGATTAAAACTCGCGAAAGTTTAATCGAGTCACGTGTATATTCACTTTTATCCGAAGCAGCCGAGGTTATCTTTGAAAATTAAATGTAAACGTTTAGTTTCTATAATATCCGCTGAGTAACCCGAGATAGCTTCCTTGTGTTAAAAGTTTATTTAAACAAGCAGCGAAGAAAATAATAAGCTTAAGTCAACGGACTAGCGTATAATTGAAAAAGCTTAGATTTTGTTTATAATGTAACTTAGATGTAATGAAAAAGCAGATGTTCAATTAACAAAATAAAGTGCAACTTAGTACAAATTTTGCAAAACATTACATTCTATAATCTATATACCTTTATACCTTTTAGTTCTGTATCATAATAGATTATCAACGAATGAAAAATATGAAAGCCAATATAACCGCACTGTGAATATCTATCGCTAATTACTGGGCCGAATTAATATACATATAATTACGTTTTGACACACACGCACACGCACACGCACACGCACACGCACACGCACACGCACACGCACACGACACGCACGCGCGCGCGCGCGCACACACACACACACAAAACAAGACAATTAGGTTGACAATAATAAACGATTAAATTTTTAAACTTAGAAATTGTAAAAAGTTGTTAAAATGTTAATAAGTAATGTTTTCAGTTTTTACTGATTTATAATAACCTCATAACATTTTTCACAAAACAAAATTTTTATTTTCCATTTTCTACTTTTATTTGATTTGAAAGGAAAGTTTACATTAAAGTTTTTTTTATATATGATAAAAAAAATTTTATAGAATATTCATTTTATTTTATGAAATCCTGTTATACTGTGCGTTTCAAATTTATGATGTGAAAATTAGCATAGCGACCTAAACAGATGTGTTATTTGCTCCCTCGCGACACATTCTATTTTTACGAACGTCAAACGCGATTACCAAATCGCGGTCACGATTTACAGCTTATGTAATAAATCGCAAATAATTACGCGAGATTTTGGGTCATCGGGGAAATATCTGTCATTTATTAATATTGATGCAAATGTGACGCTGGACGCTTGTACGAAAATGAGACCGTGTGGTATTAAAAAAATGCAACGAATCTAATTGGACCATCTTTACAAAATTAATTATCCTATAATTAATATCGATCTGCTGCAACTTAATCGTCCACCAAAGCTGATCTGCAATTTTAATTTATTTAATAAGCACTTATTCCGTCTGTTATTTTCCGTTACTTTTTAATTTATTTCAACGTATCGCATTATAATGAAATTGCGCTGTTAATTTTTTTTATAAGACTACACATATTATTAATTTAGCAAACACACATTATACTGCACAGAATCAATTCTTATGATATTTAGGTTCTAGATATGATTGAGTAAAATAATATTTTTATCTCTTACTTAATCTTTTTTAGTAAATACAAAGAAAATTATATATTAATTAATTATATTTATTCCTTTTAGTAATAATAATTTCTCTCTTAGATTATATTTATCTTTTATTTTTATTTATAATTCTATTATAATATTATACTTAAATGTAACTTATTTATTTTTTAGAATATAAAATTATATATCTTTTGCAAAATGCATTCTGTATTTCCAGATAAGTTAAAACAAGATGTAGGTGTGTTCGATATTACATGGTATAATAACCCTGTGAAAATAGCTTCTTTTCACCGCTTTCCCGCGACAACGATGTTCTTAAACGGAATTTCGCGAGCATAATCGAAGCTACGAGGATAACGGCAAAATAACCGTGGACCATTTATGTGCTTTTACTTCTCCTAAGAAATAATCCGAAGTCCGCTCGTAAAGGCGCTATTACCGTCCTTGCTCGTCGCATGCTTGTCGGACATTACGTCGACTATTACTACTTCGGTCATTTATGAGCATCACTTATGGATATAAGTGGTCCCGTCGTAGGAGCTTAACTGTCGCTACTTTTCCTCACTCGCTTATGAATGTTTTATCGAGTTTTCCTCGTGGAAAATACGGCGTGTTCAGTAATAGACACGTTTGGTATACACGATATTTTAGCGAGAACTAGGATAAATGTGTCTTCATAAAAATACTAAGACATAAATGATTCAATAAGTGACAAAAAGAGAGCACTATTTTAAATAAATATAGTGCTTCACAAATTTTAAATGCAGTTAAAATCTTATTTTGGAATTATTTAAAATGAATTTTTCCCTTATCAAAATATTTGATTTTAGACATGTAAGAAATAAATTAAGTGTTAAAAGATATTTTAAAATGTGAAATATATAGGTATAATATAAATTATAATATACATATATGGAATAATCAAATATTGATATTTTCAATTACTCAATAGAACTTCTCTCTTAGATTCAATAATAATTTTTTAAAATGCACAAATTTATTTTTAGATATAAATACAAAAAATAAATAATTTTTAATAAATTTTTATATAAAGAATTAACTTTAGAGAAGCATGTTATTTTTTAAATGTATTTTAAATATATTTTAATAATATGGTTGTAGAATGGTAAAATAGTAACAATGTTCTACAAATAACGCATTGTAGTAAGGGACCGTAACAAATAGAACATTGTAAAATTTACTTACCATACAGATTGATTTGGAGTAGCTGCTATTCACTTTGCTCAATCCTTTATTCAAAGCCATCGATTCTGCAATACAAAAGCAGGACATTAGTCATTAAAATGTCCTATTGTATATAAAACAAACATATATTATAATATATAAATCTCATTATATTAAAATAAAATGTTATTGAAGGAATCTGTGGTTATTGAATATCTAAAAGTCCATTACATCAGCAACATTTACATTTTCTGCGAAAATAAGAAACAAAAGATATTTGAAAATGGAATATTGAACTAAGTGCAGAGATTATCATAACTGAGAGTTGGTAAATTTAAAATTCAATAATTGTGAAATTATAGAAGATGTGATACCATTCGTATTAACGGCTAACAAATATACGCATTTTATTTTATCGATTGAATTTCTATAATCCTTAAAATAAAATTCTGACATGTAAAACCATATTCAGAATTTAAACAGCGATTTGTTACGGAGAAAACTGATACGAGAGAAGTCACGGCGTTTACGCAGCGCGATAATACATCTTTCAACGTATGTACGAGCTGTCGGTGCTTGAATTTACGAAAAGAATGCTAATGTCTCCCACGGCGCTAGCTCTTACGGCGATCATTTCGCGGAAATACGGAAATACGTGGCGCATACATATACCAGTATTTCGACGAGCAGGTGCAAACAGAAACGTATCTAAAATATTTGTCACCAAGGGTAAATCCGATGCATTTTATAAATAATTAAAAAATTTTAGATAAATTTAAGATAGCTACGTATATGCTCGTTAATGGATATTTTCTTTGATTTAGCACATTTTTTGCTAGAAAGCTTACATCGAAGTTTTAACTCCATTAATTAAAATCGTTACAACAATAAATGATATTTTAAAATTTAAAAGAAAAATACATTATATAAATAAGCTGAGAGATTCCGTCGTTCTTAAATAAATTCTCTATTTAATTTAAAAAACTGTATTTCAATTTCTACAAACTTATACAGAAGTATAAAAAAAAAACCAAACAGAGGAGAAATATGTTACAGATATATCAAGCAGTTTCGTAATTTAATCCGATGAATTTTTCGTTTAATTTAAACTCACTGGCATTTTAACTCTCTCGATATGAAACTCGCCGTAAATAATCTCGAAAACTTAAAATAGGATACGAAGAAACATATTACGCTCGCAAGTAGAGAGTTCTGTCTTAGTTTGAGAAATTTTTTTATTTGGCTCGAAAACTTGTAATGACGTTTCGACCGGGGGTAGACCCTGTCTTCCTCGCCATCCCTACTGTACGTCACTGGTTGCAAGGCTGTTTCGTAGACAGGTATAAGTTCGTTTTAGCAGGCCGTGCACGTGTGCGCGGTCGTGTGCACTTCTCGTGACACGCCAGCCACGTACAACGGACCGTTGCGATGGTGCCGCACGGTGTTGCAGGCTAAACGAATAACTTATGCGTTCTGAATAAGAGACCGGCGCCGTCTGGCTCGTTGCCTACGTCACTACTTTCGCGAAACGTGCGTTTGTATAGGCTATCTTCAAGAACAGTTCCTCTGTTCTGTTTAAACATAAGTAGAAAAATTTATCAAAAGACTATACGGAGCGTATCAAATTGTATCCAGAACAGAACACTGTAATTTTTCTTTGCTGAATAATTTAATTTTAAAACGCTTCCATAAAGTATCAAAGTGAGAATTGAGGTAAAAATCCTACGGATATTTTCTCGATGTACAATTTGTTGAGAGCAGTGGTTGAGATCGCGATTGTTCGAAGAAGTGCGTGAAAAATGGGCCGGAAATGCAGACGTATGGTATCACGGCGGGTTTCACAGGAATATTGGCAAGAGTAAATCAAGCCACTTTGGGAGCGATAAATTTCTAGCAACAAGCAAATACGAACTGTCTGAACAAAGTTGCGCATTACTATTTTGTCCGATATTATTCGACGCTGCATTGCAAAGTCGCCGTCGCCACGCCAATGATAACGACAGCATGGAACTGGAGAAACCGCAATTAGCGAATTAACGGGGTGCAATTATCACAGAGGATTCTATTAATTCCTCTCTGTAGAATCCATGATGGTATAATTTAACGCACATTAGCAATAATTGAACGTGACTAAAATCTAAATATTTTTGTTGAGTACAATAACGAATCCCACTGTTTTAATTGCGCAACGTATTCACAATTTTACCATGACATTTCTAAATAATTTACAATTGTAATTTTTTAACAGATATATATCAATTTTGTGAGAAAGGTTGTATTATCTTATCAATAAAAAAAAATAATCAAATTGTTAATAATTGATAAATCGGTAGATGCGAGCGTTTTCATCTCTTGAACTCTTAAATTTGAAAAAATACTTGGTAAAAATTAATGGCATTAATTATTAGGAATTAGTAGGAAATTAATATTATTATAAATGAAATTTTTATACGGAAAATCAGATAGGAAGAGATATGAAGGAAGTTGTGTTTATCGCATGCATTGTAGTCATTATTTATGCGCTGGTTTACAGCAATAATTCAGTCGAGATGAGGTAATCAAACAGATCAGACAGGGGAGTAACATTTACGCCCCTATAGCCACTTATCCGTTCTAATGAGTGGTTAATCGAATCGGCCAATCCAATAGGTAGTAGCCCAGGTGGTGGTCGAGGCTATATGTCCGGTGGTCCATACTAGTATTAGCCGATCCGTTCATCTGACATCACATCGATCATCCGAGCCCTTCGAACGGGATGGGGTTCTTGCATGTATACATGTCCGCCAGCTAAACACGTACATTTGTAGCTACGAGTGATACGCGTCGCTCGGTATAATACATGTGACAGCTTCTTTGTTGGCTATTGTCAAACTGATTCGACTGCCACTGAATCGACAGCGGGCCCTCTGTCGCAATTTCGTAGATGAGCAATGCCGGAGCTATTGACCGATCGTAACTCCGCCGTTTCGCGGATTCCAAAATGGACTCGCTGAACGATATAAATGTCTATCAAACCGCCGAACGGATGCGACGATAAATTGGATGAATTGGTCGATTCATCATCAGTCACTTAGCTTTCTCTGTCTTTCCTTCTCCTCGCTCGACGCGAATTCCTCATCGCGATCATTTGTCGTAGCGAGAACTCTGTTCTTCCGCCATAATCGACATGTGTGATTTACTGCATATATCGTAGATAATGTTTCTAAATGAATAATCTTATCTTTTAATACACTTTTGCTTAGTTTTTTAAAGAAACTCTTTAATCCCGTTTTCCTAATTTTATATAAAAAGTACGCATACATTTTCTTCATATTAAATAGAGAAATATGGAATGCCAAATTAAATGACATTATCTTATCTGGATGAATTCTATAAGTGACATCTATTTTTGACTGAAAAGAGAGAGCAAAGATAAATAGATAGAAATAGATTTTCGTTCTGTACGTAAAAGAGCATTGACTATGCATTATTCCAGAATGGCAGATGTAATAAATCCGATTATATCCTTAAAGCAGCGAGATCCTCCTGTCTAGCTTAGCATTGATATTTGAAGAACTTGGATATTGCGGAAAATCCATCGTGATATAATTCTCAGATCGACAACGATAAGTAATCCATAACTATAATATAATTTTTTAATCCATAACAAAATTTTTGTTTTTTTAAACGGCACACTATTAAAAACAATTAATGTACTAACATTCAATGCGAGCAATAAATTGAGAGTAGCTATTATACATGTATAAGAAGCATTTTAACTTCATCGCAATAACATTTAAAAAAATTATGTACAAAAATTAAATTTTCGTATTTAAATAAATAAATAAAAACTAGACATTAAAAAAAATGTATAAAAAATTAACAAAAAATTACATGAATTCTCGAATTAATTTTCTTATTACAAGATTTACTACGAGTTGTAAAATAAGTTTTTTCTGCTACATTTGAAATTTAGCGCATCAAATGCATCAACGAGATTAAGGGATAATTTTGGTTGGCTGACAACGACGACCACGACAACGACGTGCTCGCCGTTCGAAGGTCAAGAAGCAAGTAACGAGATTCGAACTTCCGGCAAACGACTGCAACTGACAAATGAGAGGCGAAGTAATGGGCCGACGCTACCTGCATAAATAATCGGGCCAACCAATGCGGCGCCGCAACCACTTCCAGGAACAGTTCCACATCGCCGCCCGCCCAGTGGTTTATCGACCTACGATACCGTTGACCTATACCACCACCCACGTAGGTGAATTCACACTCAAGTTGTACTCTATTTTGTTGTGTTATCGAACCACCCTTTGGCAACTTGCACATTTAAAGCCCTTCAGAAAAAAATGTGACCAGAATAAAATTTAAGTGACGATATTTATTTATATTGTGAGCTCTATTTCTCTCTCTCCTTCTGTCCCCCCCTCTCTCTCTCTCTCTCTCTCCCCCCATCTCTCTCTCTAATGGTATATAGAAAGGACGATTTTGTTGAAGTATCTAAACATTTAGATAGATACAGATCTAAAATTAATTCTGCTGAATTATCAAAATAATTATGTAAGAAACTCAAGCATCATGTAAAACTGGAGAACGTTTTGACATTCTAGCAATCAGCTTGAGCGACTTACATAATTATTTCGACAGTTTCAACAAATTTATTCTCAGATCTGTATTTAATTAAATTTTTAAATATTTCAGCGAAACTAATTTTTCTGTATAATTTATTTATATTCAAACAGTGAAAATATTGTATATACTTTGATTGATCATAAAAAAATATAACTTCAGAAATAGAAAATATAATTTTTATGAACAAAAGTATTTTTTAATAATATTAATATAATAATATAATATATTATTCGATAACATTTTCAATAATTTTCACAAAAATTTACACGCTTCCTACAAATTTATTTCATCCTTTGACTAAAATGCTATGCCATAAATGTAGGTAAAATATATTATCTAATCAACGTGCCATTGAAGGTTTCATAACTCTTTCAAACAGGTAAAATTAAAAAAAATTTTTTATTTGAAAGTTTCTATGTGAATGAAAAATTACTTCTTTTGAGTATATATACTAAAGCCTCGTTAA